TTACTCAGAGCTGTATCCTAGAGGCCCCCATAGTACAGAAAACCCTGGGGTTGAATCAAGAGTTGAGAAGCACAGAACTGATGGCTGTTTTGATCCATTCTCAAGTTTATCAGAGAGGCAAATGAGACTTTCACTTGAGCATGACAAACATACGTACACACGGCCGAGAAGTGCAACTTCCTTGGTCTACAAACACTGTCATTCTAACCAAAAACTGGGCTGTCCAACATGCCTCCTTACGAAATAATGCCACAGTTGCAAGATCTCCAGTTGCTCATATTTCATTACGATAGACTGCAGTACATTTGCTAGTATAATATATTATGAAAGATCATAAATAATTAAGAATTAATCACACTTGTCAAAATAAATAAATGCAGCCAGTGATGCAGAATGCTTGAATTTTTTATAGCATCTTTTTGCTTATTCATGAATTAAAAGAAAAGAAGTCAAGTAATCCACAATGGATTGCCTACTCATTACAGCACATACAGGCCTGGTTCAGATCCCAACAGAGGAGATTTTCCTGTCAATCTGTAGCATATCAGTGGAATTTTAACCTTAAATCCCTGATCCTGCAGAAAGTTACATAAGTTCAACTTGGAAATACCAGTAGCTCCAGCAGATCTTCACATACCATGCAGGGCCTAGCTGGCAGATACACTAGTGATTCTATCACCCACTGGTCCACTTACAAGGTGGCGGTGGAAATGGATGAGAATGAAGCATTTTAGAACAAAATTTCCAAAAAAAACCCCCACAAAGTATCTTGACAACCTCCTTTCTGTAGATTTCTATAGACAGACAGTCCTGCAGTTCTTCCCACCAAATATTTTTGGATGGTTCAATATCATTCACAAGGCTTTAACAGAACAGCAAATAATATTAAATGTTTAAATAGCACCTTTTCTCTGAGTCTGCAAATTGGTCTGAAACCTTTAGTGCATTTCTCTCCTTTTTCAAAGAGAAGAAAAAACAGGGCTGAGAGGTGAGGGAGGGACCACTGCACCAACCCTACCAGCACACTCCAAAGATCCATTAACTTCAAACATCTGGCTCTGAAAACAGACAGGTGTAGATACATAACAAAGAATATACGAACAGGGAGAGCAAACAGTTTTATTTCCCCACTCCCGGCATTCAAGGATCTATTGTGCAAGGACTCTCTGAGCCAGAAAATGCAGTCTTGGAATCTGGTAGCTGTAATTATTTTTCTTCCCTGCACACATCCTGTCAATTTGCACACACGGAGAAAGTTTTAGCACCAACAATACCCTGTGGAAAAAGGTTCCACAGTTTTACTGTTTGTTACATACGGAAGGATCTCCTTTTGTTTTGAACCTGACTTCTACTGATGTCATCTGATGTCATTCAATTCTGTATGAGAAGAAATAACAAGTATTCCTTCTGTACCCATCCTCTCAGTGCTTTATAAAGTCCTGGGAGTTTATAAACCTTTGTGCATCTTTTATAAAACTCTGCCATGTATTCCTTTAGGTGCCTCTTGCAGGCCAGGTAGCCTTAGTTAATTTAAATGTTCCTAAAAAAACTGCCATTACACACCTTAGATCATCGTTGTTTCCATTCTTTTAATAACTTTCCCAGCTGTACTAAATGATTTTTGATGCACTGGAACAGAACAGAACGCTGTGTTCTAGATACAGCTGCCTCACACATTTATACTATAGCATACTGTTCCTGTTTGCTACTCCCTTCCCAGTAAGTCCCAACATCACATTTACTTTGTGACTGCTAATGAATTGATGTTTTCACAGCTCTATTCTTTCCCCAAAATCAGCCTAAGTGACTACACCTTGCTCAGAATCTGTCCTTCTATATGCCAAACTCAGATTGTTTCTCCCACCACCTCAATTCAAATTATCTACACGAAATTTCACCTGCCACTATTACCCAGTTAAGCATCCTTTTTCAATTCCTTGCATACCAGACCTCCAATCTTTTACCCTGAATAATTTAATATCAAACTTTGCCACCTCACCATCTATTTC